TGGTACGGGAGGTCACTCTAGTCTCTGAACACCAGGGGGCTTCATAGATCCCATAGGGAATTCTCTTGAGATCTTCTCTCAATGCCCCTTTGCATGGACCGGTCGTCAGCCAGGGTGGGGATGGGAAAAGAAACATGTGTTGCCACTTGCCACTGGCAGGGAACAGTGGATTCATGGACATCAGGCTTCTTTGGTCGGCCACCGTTGTCTCGGTGATGTGTGAATTCTTGTCCTCAGCAATCTGATGAGTGGTTGCGTATGCAGATTTGTACTCCTCGTTCTGGTCGTGTAGGCGTTTGGTTTGGGCGGCTGCGATTAAGATCCCTTTTATGAGATACAACCACTCTGCCGCTTGGGTTGACTGTCATTTCTGAATGAACCCTTATGCTTTCTGTTTTCCTTGCCTTTTTGTGCATATTCTTTGACGGTTTCCATCTCTTGGGAAACGTGTCCTGGATTGCTATGAATGCATGGTCTATTTGAATGGGGCACCATCTATATTTTTTGCGTCTTTGTGAATGCTTGGTGATTTCAAAGTCAAGTCTGACACCCCATCTATGTCTTGATGAATGCATAATCATACTGGGTGGCTCAAATAACAGCTGAGATGACTAGGACTTGTTTGGGCAGAGTATAACAGCAAGGCGTGTCCTGTAGGCAAGGCCATATCATAACAATGCTCTGCTGAAGCTATGATCATATGTACTAAACACACACACACACACACACACACACACACACACACACACACACACACACACACACAAACACACAGTTTTATGTTTGTCTGTCCTCCCTCTGATCTTTTTCTAAGTCTTTTTGCTCACCCAACTGAGCACCCTTAAGGAGTGCCAAACAGTCGGTGGTTCCACGTTTGGAGTGCCTACTGCACTCTTACAGGGGCCGCTCGGTTCGGGATGTCTGTGTTGCCTGTGGGTGATGACGGATGCTCATTGGAGTGTTTCCCTGGCTCAGTGGGTGGTGGGAACCAACAGTTTGCGGGTTTGAATCGTGATGTGAGTAGGTCGTGTGCCACTTTGCTCCATGTTGGATGTGGGGACGACCTCGTCTGCGCTCTGCCGCTGCCCTGCTGCCTGCCCCACTTGCTTTGCATGTGGTTCTCTGCAGGTTGATGCGTTCGCTGTGTGGTGTGGCCGTGTTGTTGGTGTTGCCTTGCGCTTCGCTACTCCGCTGCCTTGCTGCTCATCCGCTGGTCGTGCCTTCCGTGTTTGATGCTTGCGGGCCTGGTCCACTCGCCCTGCCGTCCCTTGCAGTGTATTTGCCTTGCTTGTGTTGCCTTGTGCTTCACTGCACGGTTGCAGTGCTGTGCATCCGTCATCCGCTGCTGTGTTGCTCCTTGCAGTCGTTTCTTGGCGTTGTGCAGCCGTGTTGCCTCTACTGCGCTGCCTGGTGCCCCGCAGGGTTGCTGCCCGCTGCTATGTTCCTCTTGGGGACAGTCTGCCCCCAACAAGGGTCAAAGGGTTCATGACCAAAACCATAAAATACGGAGATTCCGCAAATTGTCGAGGGTTCAGCCTCCTGATGAGTTGGTGCAACTCCGACGAAACAATCTATCATCAGTTTTTTTTTTTCGCTTTTTCTTTTTTCAGGACTTTTTCTTTTGCTGTGGTCGTTTCCCTGCTTTTTCTGCTGGTGTGAGGTGTGATGTAATACGATGGATGTTGGAATTTTGAGGAATCCTATGGGGTTTACCTCGTGAGGTGATGACGAGTTGGAGCATGTATTTGTTATGTGCTGAGGCTTCTGGAATATGTGTTTTCACACACATCATCACACACACACAACCTTTTTTTGTTTCACGGATGGTTTGTGATGATTTGTGGATGGAATGAGAGACAGAGTTTGGTAGAGCCATATATCCCATCAGAAATGGCAAAATGATCACGCATTCATGAATTACAATGCCTGTAATAGGAGGCCCCAGTGAATTTGCGCATCACTTTCAGGAGTACCTGCTCATCAGAAAGCTGTCGAAGTGGGAGATCCATCCAAGCATCATACTGGAGCTCGATTTTGCCAGCCTGTTTTCTCTCCAAGGTTCCGCCCATCATGTCTGTCAAGGCCATCTTGATTGCCTGGTTCTGTTCTGCTCGTTTCCTTAGCATTTCTAGTTCTGCCTCCTCCTTTTCCTTCTTCTTCCTCTCCTCCTCAGTAAGTTGCTTATCTGCTTTGATCTCTGAGTCCTCTACAACCAATAATCTTTCTGGTTCTTCACTCTCACTTAGTTGCATCTCTCCATAGCTCCCCCCATACTTCCGTGCACGGAGTTCTCCACCACTTGAAACTCCTGTCTCTCGACTAAATCCACCCCCTAAGGTGCTACCAAGGTACATCTCCTCCCGCTTTTTGGTATAGACCATGAGCTGCTCATAAGCCTGCCTCTCCTTTTCAACGTCCTCTATAGCCACCTCTATTTCATGTATCCTTCCTTCCTTCTCAGCAATAAGGTCCCAGCTTGAAACTTTTTTCTGCAGTGTGTTTCTGCATTCCTTATTGAAATCCGTCCTTCTCCTGTGCATTTCATCCTTCAGCAGAATCATTTGAGTACGCTTCCTTGTTGAGCAATAAAGCCGGTAATCTGCATACAGTTTGTTAGCGTTCTCCTCAACCTCATCAACTATGTCCTCGTCATCATCCCATATGTCATGCCTTCCACTAGCTTCAGCTTTTCGCATTCTTGGAGAATCCCGGCGAGAACCTTTCCCAGCTCCACCACTCTCCCCTCCTCGTCCTCCACCCTCCCTGGAAACCCCTTCCTTCTCTTCTTGTTCATCAATAGCATCGACGACCATCCCTGCAGACGTCAGCATTCCTCCAATCCCTGACATCCGTCCCCTGAGCAGCTCATTGTTTATTCCTCCAGACTTACTCCCTACGTCTACCTCCACTGAAGTACGTGGCCTCCTTATGCCTCCTGCTTTGGATACGATGCTCGATGACCCTACTTCCCCAACTGACCCTTCTCTGGCTGACAGGCTGGATACTGGCCTGACGGTTGAAACTCGCCTTTCCGTTCTTCCATCATCCATTTTGACAAGTCTCTCCTCTCCATGACCACCACCCGATTGACCCGACTGATGCGAGACTCCTCCTCCTCCTCCTGCTCCTTCCCTCCCTCCCATTAAGGTGATCTCCTCTCCATCAAGCTCCAGGTCGTGTATTGTTGATTCGACCCCAGGCACTTCTTGCCTATTTCCTAGAAGATCTACCCCTTTTACAACTGTACTGATGCTTAGCCGTCCAGAAGGCTCCTGATTACTGCTCTTGGTGGGTAACGAATTCACATCTGACTGCAGAACTGGAGTATTCTTAACTGGTAATTCAAGAAGAACAGTTGCTGCCACGCTAGCATGTCCCTTAGATGACATATCCACAAACAGGAGTCTCTTGATGATCCCAGCGACACCATGGTTCTTCGTTCTCAGCTTCATTTCTTCCGCTTCGACGCCTCTTAAGAACTCTATCACATGTACTTGCCGGCGCTCCTTTGGACCCCATGCACGCAGAGGATAACTCGGCACAGTCAAGTCTCGCTTTCCTATTCCAGAGAGAATGAGCATGTGTTCTGACATCTGTGACCAGCACGCATCACGGATGCGGATCCACAGAATGTCCTTTGCGACATTGTCCCACCGTATCTGATTTTTCAACGCTTTCACCCGCTGCTTCCCTTCTTCTATCAGCTCTCGTTTTAAGTGCAGGTTGATGATCATATCCTGCGGAGGAAGGCGTTCTAGATCCTGCACCTGCATTCACATGAGCATCACGATACCAAAGTAGTAAATTACTGAGTGCCACTCACTTGTCTGGCTGACAACTCATGCATGACACACTCATAAAGTATATCGATGGACAGCTCATGACTTTGAATTCAGATACCAAAATGCTGATGAGAAGGCCATTCCAAATCCTGTGCCTGCCTCTGCAAGGGTATGATATAATTCCAAGAATCCAAATGAATGAGACACCAAGACATCCGGCTCACAGGCAGTTAAATCTGCTCTAATCCTTGTTTAGATGTTGATGACAACTTCTGGAACAGTTACAGCGGGCTTTAGGAGACTGTTGCTCTACAAAGGGTGCCCCCTGGAAGGTAAGATTGCGACAATTGATGGCGACAAGCTCTGGTGGCGGTGCTGGGACCCAAAATAGGATCCATACAAAGTTTTCCCTTGGAGGGGGGTGTTAACAGGGAGGGGGGGCTGTTTTTGTCCTGAGGGTGGGGCTCTGGATAAATAGGCGGTAATCGGCCGGAACACGGTCAGGTGCAAAACCTTCAAAACTGGGTCTGGCTTCCGCATCTAGTGGGAGAGAACCGGCATTATGCTCAGAGCAGGTGGCGATACAACCTCCTCTGGTCAAACCACTCAGTTGGCACGAACGGTTTCGGGCATGACTCAAAGATGATGTAGCAGCCACAGTGGGTTACTCGGGTATTGTGAGCACAGAAAATGGAGAGCTTGGTATTGGAAGGTGTGATTGCTGAGCTTCAGCGCAGAGTGATAGAGAGAATCGACAAGATGGTACGGGGCAGGTTAATTGTGGGGAAAGCGCTGGCCAGACCTCAGCGCCAGCTAAGCTTTGGGGTAAGGAGGCTGTAGTGGCTGGCAATTGCATTAGGCTACGTGTACCAGATAGGTCTGGGATGCACTGTGCTCTCGTTATGCTGGACGCAGTTCATCAGCACATTTGCAGGGAATGCCAGGATCACGTGAGCTCACTCTTATGGGCCCTGGTTAAGGGGAGACAAATGCAAGGACGGGAGTAGGACAGGAAGGAAGGATCCCTTCTCGTGCTTCTTATTGTGAATAGACAGGTTCACAAACGGAGCCTGAGAGGTTTTCCATAGTGCAAAGAAAGAAAGAAAGAAAGAAAGAAAAAAAGTTGAGGGAGGGACGGCAAACAGAGAAGAGCACAGCCAGAGAGGGCGGCGGTAGGTTAGAAATCTCAGTGATATCCATAGATTCTAGTTTATCAAGCTAAGCTGGCAGACTGGACTCGAGCGACGTGCACACATATGAGCTGCATGCCGTTGTGAATTAGAACAAAGATGTCTTGTAGGGAAAGCAGAAGAGAATAAGAGAACGAAAATATACAACAAAAAAGCATAAAACCATCTCTCCAATGAGTCTCCAAACGACTCTCCATCCTATTTTGTCACTCCTCACAGAATCGATCTCTTATTAATGCAAGCTCGAAGAGAACTGGATGAGGAATCATAAACCGAGAATCAGCCTAGGTGTCTACAACAACGAAACAGTCATATACTCTAACCAAAGGCTTCTCTCCACAAGAATTCAACTGTGTCTCTGACAATCGTACAAGACTGAATTCAGGCACTGATGCGCAGACCACAATGCAAGGCCTCTTCCTCGCCCACATTACCAGTGGGGAAGCGTTGTACCTCCCTCACACCTGCACATCCTCAAGCACAACAGCATCACTCAAGGTTGAGGTGTCTGCCATAGCTATGGTGAGTATGTGCCCCACACAGTCTGTAGATGGAGCTCTGCTGTGACCTCAGGCACAATCGCCGATGCCATCTGCCATAGCCTAAAAGCCTCCCTCAATAGCCAGGGCACCTTCTCTGTAGCTAGGACTTTCGATCATCCTGTTCCTCTTTCACTGAGCTACCCAGCCTCCAAGCTGCCTCCTTCCCTAGCAGCTCAGCAGCATATGGTTGTATTCTTCTTCCTGATCCGTTCTCATGCTTGCACTGTCTTTGCCGGACAATACACTCTATCTGATAAATCATTAATGTGACAACCTCCTTTGCGACTGTACATTGGGTGGTGGGCACCACCTAGTAATGACCGTTGGGGATATGGAGGATGTACTCTTGCGGTGTGCTTTCTGGATGTAGGGTGCTGATGTCCTCATTAGGATTAGTTGTTTATGACGATGAAGTGAATTCGGTTAGATTAGTTGTTCGACGTGACTAGATTGGCTCTCTTCTTTTCTTTTCTTTTCTTTTCTTTTCTTTTCTTTTTTTTTTTTTTTTTTTTTTTTTTTTTTTTTTTTTTTTTTTAAGCCAAAACCAGATATAAAAGTTTCAGAGAAAAAGGTTTCAAATTTCAATCAATTATTTTTTACACCCCCTGCCCTCCTCCTCTCAACCAAACAATCCCAAGAATCTCAACCACGAATTCAGTCCCCACCCTCCAATTAACTTCCAACCATACTTGCAAGCGCACGTCGTGTGGGCGGTTCCCTACGTGCGGCGCACATGCCCAACTGATCCCCTGCGGCGCATCAACGTGCCCCGGGAACGACCCGTCACCCCCCTCAGGAAAAAAAAAGAAGGCCGGGGTCGAAACGGTGCGTTTGAGGCCCCCCGCCAAAATTATAAGCGGGATGAAAAAAAAAATTACCGGAGTGCTGCCTCACCTTGCTCCTTCTCCCTGTCCTCATCCTCCATGTCTCCTCCTCCCTTCTCCTTTTCGTCTCCTCACTCGTCCTCCTCCGGTTCGTCCTCCTCCTCCTCGTACTTCCTCACCTTCCATGCCTCCTCGTCTCCTGCCCTTCCTCGTGTCCTCCCCTTCCTCACCGTTCATGTCTCCTCCTCCTCCCACCAGTCCTCCTCCTCCGTCCATCTCTTCTCCTCCCCCATCTCGACTCCTCGTCGTCCTTGCTATCCTCATCCTCCTCCTCGTCCACATCCTCCTCCTCCTCCTCTCCATTTCCCCCCCTCCTCGCCATATCCCCATCTTCCTGTCATACGCCCCCCCGTCCCCTCTCCCAACAAAAGATAAAATAATAATAATAATAAAAAAAAAAAACCACGATTCCACACAGGCACCCCACGCACGAAACTCCACACAAATGTGCAGCTCGTGCGGTTGCAAGTATGCTTCCAACACAACCCTCAACGAAGCTTCACTGAAACTTCCTCTTCTCCCTAGGATCCCCAGCCTCCAATGATAGCCCACTGTTGAAAACAGCATCCCATCATGCCCCGAGCCTGCGAGTACAGGCGCTGATCTGGCATGAGCCAGATATCAAGTCACAGCGCTGCAAAGCACCATGAAGAAGAAGGTGAACCTCGATGAAGAAGATGATGGCTGCCCTGATATGGCAGCAACCAGCAACAAGACCACTCGATGATGCTGCGGTCAGCCTCAAACCTCCCAAGCAGCAGCGTGGTCCACAGGACTAGCAGCGCCAGGAGGCACTCCACCTGCACTGCCTTCTACGACGGGCCAGCCTCCAGCTATGGCCGCACCCAACTTCAAAGAAGAAGACGATGCTAGCGCCGCTCGATTTCCCGTGGTCGCCAACCAGCCAAATGAAAAGAAAAGCCCAAAACTGACCATCCACACAGTGCAGATCTACGGCCCAACCGCCAAGCTCTACCTGCATGGATCTAGACCAGAAACTGCTAAAAGGGAGTCTAGCACAAGACAAGGCCTACAGGCCTAACGGTCCTGGCTCCATATCCATTCTGGGGAGCGTCAGTCCGGTTCACCGGCAAGTTGAATCTTGGAATACATGGTGAACACTCTCATGCTTCCTTCCATCTGGGCGAAGGAACCCTGACCAGCATTGATTACTCCTGTTCAGGAGGATTGACTGTCTTGGCCTGCCCTAACTTTCCTCTCAGATACCCTATTGGTTCTGTCGGATGGACTGCGATTAACAAGAAAACTGGGAGAGTTGTCTTCCTTCTGAGACAATAGTCTCAATTTGTCCTTCACTGGAGTGTGTTCCTTGCAGATGTTGGGATGCACCACCTCTTCCAGATCAGTCTCTCGTGAAGGCTCGTCTCCTGAGTGTGAGTCTTTCTGGTTTGCCTTTCGTGGCAGTTATCACTCTCCTCCATCTGCATCGAATCTCTGTCTCCACCATTCTTAGCAGAGGGGTCCACATTTCTTCTTTGGTCACTTCAGATCCCTCGATCGCCTTGGCACAGCCAGCTTTCTGAGAATGTAGAACCAGACCTCCTTGCCCACGCTGAGACTGTCGGGGATGTTAGATAGGAGTAGGATGTTCAAGGGGGTAATGGTGGGTGGTGGGGCTGAGAAGAGGAGGGTCCATAGGATTCGGATTTTGTTCCATATCCAGGCCGCCTCAATGCAGTAGAGGAGGCAGTGGAGGATGTCTTCTGTCGCCTTGACGTTGCACAGAACACATAGTTCTGAGTCGTCAGGGTCTGTGTGTTTTCTCCTCTTGTGGAGCCACTGGTTGACAGGGAGAGCAGTGTGTGCTATTAGCCACTGCATGCTTCGAATTCCAACTGGTCTGATGGGCAAGTACTTGGCCCATGGGATAGACATGGATTCAGTCGGTTGCAAGTTCAGAATCCCTCTCCCCGTTTCCTTCAGTCTGGGGTCTGGGTGTGGTTTGTAGGGCTAGATCGTATCCAAACTTTCCGTCGTATTCGAAGATTGTTCTTGTTCTGCCAGACTTGCCCATCTTCTAGATCCATTCCTCTGGGTCTAATTCGAGATCTGCAATGCTTGCTTGGAATACTCTCCACGGTTTGGATTTCGAGACCCTCATGTTTCTTAGTAGAAAAGAGTATAGGATCTCGAACTGATGGTCGTTGTTGAGAATTTCCGTTTCCTGTGGGTTGTCTTGCAATGGGATAAGTGGAGACTTTAGATCTGTACCGAGTCGGGAAATGAAGCGGTAGGCTCTAGCATGGGGAGGTTGGGATATAGGAATTCCCCAGTCGCAGGGTTTCCACGAGAAGTCTTCCGGTGCTCCATTGGGTAGGAATGTTACGCTGGATTTGTGTTAGGTTGGTCGCCAGCGAGTGGCATCCTTTTAGTCTGGTGCACAGTTCTTGCTCGGTGATCCAGTCATTCTTCTTCTTCTTCTTCTTCTTCTTCTTCTTTTTTTAAATAAATACAGAACCCCTCCGTTCTGGCTCCTGCCATTCTGGGGATCAACAGTCCGGTTCCTTTTTTTTTTTCTTTTTTTCTTTCAAAAAACAGAACCGCACGGTTCTGGCTCCTACCATTCTGGGGAGCGACAGTCCGGTTCCTATTCCCCTGGCAAGTCAATATGGAATACATAAAAGACTCACACACACTCCTCCCCATTATGGCTGAGAGGCCCGAGTACGCAGCATTGATTACTTCCCTGAGGAAGGATTTACCACCTCTCACCACTGCCTAATCTAGCCTGTACTAACTCTGCCTGCCAATCTATGTGATCCCAGATCTGCTCCTCTCAGCTATGAAGCTGTCGGTTATCTATGATTATGCAAGAGCATTCTGGAACACTTATATGCCTTTTGAAGCCTCTAAAATTCTATAACAGCTTTTGCCTTGTTTCTGTCTAATCCATAAACCCTGAACCCTCAGTCCTAATGCTGTCCTGATTTATCTGTTCCAAGACATCCAGGTAGACATTACCTCTCCTATACCCTAAAACTCTCCCTGTTTTCACACGACTATGACCCTTAACCCCTAAACCCTTCCTTCGACTCTTAACCCTGAATCCCTTCCTTTTTTTTTTCTTTTTTTTTTACAAAAACAGAACCTCATGGTTCTGGCTCCTACCATTCTGGGGAGCAACAGTCCGGTTCCTATTCACCCGGCAAGTCAATATGCAGTACATAAGGGACTCACACACGCTCCTCCCCATTATGGCTGGGAGGCCCGAGTGGGCGGCATTGATTGCTTCCCTGAGGAAGGATGTACCCCCGCTCACCCCTGCCTAAGTTATCCTGTACTAACCTTGCCTGTCGATCTGTCTGATCCCAGCTTTGCTCCTCTCAGCTGTGAGGCTGTCGGGTAGATCTGCTATGCAAGAGCGTTCTGGAATTCTTTTGAACCTATTGAACTCTGTGTAAATCTATAACCATAATTACCTTGTTTGTGTCTAAGCCCTAAACCTTAAACCCTAAACTGTCGGCCGTGGTGTGGTCGTGATTTAGCAGATCCAAATCCATCAGGTAAACTTATGCTGTTCTTAAGCCCTGAACTCTAAMCCTCTCTGAAGGCTGACCTCTATACACTAATGGTTCTTATTCGAACCTACTTCGTGGCTTTCTTATCCAGTGGTGTGTCATCAGCTACTGCTCTTGTTGAACCCTAAACCCTACTGTCCCCTTCGTCCTGAAGYCGRCTTCCCTGTTGATTTAGTCTTTACTCTTCTGAGAGTACTGTGCTGGGTTTAAATCCTCCAAGCTGTTCTGTGATTTGGGATTTGTCTGCTGGTATGACTTGTGGGTGGAGATGTTGGACCAGGATTTAGTGCATTAAGTATCTATGGCTTTGTACTTAGGGAAATGTACCAGTGTAGTGTGGTGCAGGAGGGTGGGATTTTTAATACGTTAAGCTACGGAGAGGACACATGTGGTGTGCATGATTCTGGGACGCTGTTAACGGTTTCAGAGTCTGTTTGGACGGTCTGGGGGGACTTTTCCCAGAGTGTAAAAGCTAGACCTTGGCCTTTGATGTGTGCTATTTTGCCCTTTGCTAGGTGATCTTCTTCGAATCTTTGTCTATGTTCTTTTGCTCTATGTACCTCTATTTCTATTTTCCTTCTCACTTTGCGCCA